TTTATTTTTATTTCCAAATTTTCTTATTGGTTGCAAGTTGTACTTCGATTATATATGTATATAAAAATTAGTACTTTAGATAAATATTGCGAAGAATATTACTACGTCGACCCGCTATCAGAGGTCTATCGATATTCGCAAATTCTCGCAAGTGCTGAGACACGCGTATATCTCTTTATATAGAATCTCGATTTAATAACTTACACTGGCGTCTAAGGTAGGCTTCCATTACAATACTTTACTGATGAGTCCAGTATTGGAAGCCGGGACGAAACGCCAACATTACGTGATATTCTTCGCAATATATTAGAATAAATAAAATTAAAGATTTTAATGAATCTATGGCTTGTAGCCCTGTTCTCTTATTAGTTATATAAAAATTATTAAAAAAATAAAAAACATATTAATCAATATACCAAATCCATGATCGATAAGATTGTTTTACTGATTGAATGTTATTGACATTTTTATATGGTCATTGTGACAAATGTTACTAACTATCTGTATTTATATGTGTTTCGTGTACAATTTCCTTTGTCAAAGTTTAATTGATACATTTGCGATGCCACTCCTGTAAAATGAGTCACAATATCTCCATATTAATGTAATTGAATTGTATGAATGGAATTGTATGATTCCACAAACATCATTACATGCATTTGTCCCAGTTAATCTTAAGTTTAAAATTTTAAAACAATTGACTTATTTGTTGTAAGTCAATTTACCGTCTAAAATAAAAAGGAATATTGATTTTTATTTTAATTAAACAATGAATCAATGATTGCAAATCTAAATTTTTGTTATGTGAAAGATATTAGATAATAATATATTTGAAAAAAATATAAATTTATCCTATAACAAGAGATTGATTTCGGAAATGGTGCATATTAAGAGACAGAAATGTGCAATCAACAAACAAAATGATACGGAATCTCTACCAGAGGTATATTCTAATATCATACGGTCTCTTTCCCCTTCCTAGTTGTCTTACTATATTCCCCTTCTATTTAATATCTTTCCCTCGGTTTCCTTGTTTTCTTGTCACTATTATCTTGCGGTACTTCATTGAAGACACTTTATAATGTTTTCTACCTAAACTTTTTGCAAATCGCTCCAATATATGTCGTAAAATATTTCTTCATTTAACAAAAGGTATTTTATTTGTATATTAATACTGTATCAATGTACACTTTCATTATAATTTAGTTCATATTGCTATATTTTTTAGAGAATTTTTATTTGTTGCACTGTTACGATGCTTCCTAAGTTTTATTACCTTTGACAACGATTTTTTAATGATGGACTACTTTAATTTGGCCTGACTACATTTGGCAAGCATCCTAACGATCAGTATAATGCTTTAAAACTTATTTAATATCTTATTTAATGCGATATTCATAATGAAATAATGAAAGAAAGATTAATTTATTAAAAAATACATAAATATTATTAAAAATTATAAATTCTAACTAATAATAAGCAAACCCTAAAGGTCGATCTGAATCTTGGGTGTTTCTATAATTGCGTATGAATTTACGTACTACGTAAGTAATCTTTTTTAATTGCGCGTCGTAATTTTTTAAACTTTAAACACAAGCTCTACTAAACTATCGCAATATCACAAGTTAAATTGACTAACATTTAACTCGTAATATTGCGGTAGTTTAGTAGAGCTTGCGTTCCAAGTCTAAAGAAAAAGTTAAAAAAGACTATATACGCGTAGTATATAAATTCATTTATAATTATAGAAGCACCCAAGATCTTGATCTTTAAGGCTTGTTTCTTATTAGTTTTTGGTATTTTTATCGTAATATGGAAAATGTTAAATATTCTGTTCATCCAGCAATTTAATCAATGATTTTTATCAATTGTGGCGTCGTGATATAAATAAATTTCTTTACAGCTATTTTATTTTTCCTGACAAGTGTGCTAAATTCCCTGACATTTCCCTGACTTGTGGCAATCCTAACCACAGAATGAACAAAAAATTAATTGCTATTGTACACTATAATGTGGCTTTATATGTCAAGGCGCGCGTACGTTCAAAGATAATAAGCATGTCAAAAATGACTTAAGCGGGGAGCACAGACTTTTGCATAACGCATAAAGCATGTGCATAAGGAATTTCATTGGTCCATTTTCTTATGCATGAGTCAATGGACCAATCAAATTCTTTATGTATATGGTTTATGCAAAAGTCTGTGCTCCCCGCTTTAGCCTGGCAAAATGTTAGTACTCTATAGGTTATATCAGGGGTTACAAATTCCTATTGTTCTCGATGTACAGATAAGATTTTATATTTATGTAAGTATAAATATATGTATGAGTGTAAGTAACTATTCATTATATTTTTTTTAGTCCACGTATGTCTTTTGTATCATGCACACCGATTTATACATACTTGATTCTTCCATATAGAAGAAATAATTTTTAATATTATACACACCAATTGACTTGGTTTTTTGTTTTATATATATACGAATTCTCTGTTTGAACCAATGACAATGAAAGATTGCATTCAGTCGACCAACTACATTAGAACAGTTGATTTGTCGAAGTTTTATTCATCAGAGAATTCTTAACTGGAACATCCACTGCGTATCTATTTTATTTTTATATTTTTGATGTTGAAGATCTGAAGATGGCTCAATATAGAAGCCGAAACATGTAATTTTAATGTCAATATCATATTATTTTGTTAAGAACATCAATCATTTATTTTATCTTCGGAATAAAAAATTTTGTTTAATTTGACATACAAGATTAGTTTTAATTTTGGACTCTTATGCCCTTTATTCATTTCTAAATTTATTCATTAACAAGAGTCCTTTATACATAATTTTATTATTCATTATATACTATAAATTAATAAATAAATTATTATATAATTAGAGCATTACTTTATTAGATTATTTTTTATGTTAGCTTAATAATATAATTTATGTAAATTTGCTTCAATGTAGGAGACATAGCTGCAAAAAGATTTAAACATCTAAAAGGCGTTCGGAAAAACTCGTTGGAGCTCCGGCGGTGCTTGGCGGTGCGTGAAGGTTACTGTCACCTATGGATCATCTTTTGATTTAGTTAAAAATATATTCGTCCCGCGCTCTCATCGCCGCATCGCAAAACGATGCGGCGGCATCCGGCTAGATGTAAATGTCGGGAACGATGCGTACTGAGGGGAGCATGATCGTTACAAGCTTAATTCAATTACGTTAGAGAATTATTTAAAAATAAAAACTTATGTGTGTTGTGTCTTTTACCGAGTTATTTTATAACAAATAAAAATGTAATTTGACATTTATCATATAGGATTACATAATTTAAAAGTAGCTATTGTAAATATTTCGCAATTCAGTTCTAAAATTATGAGATCAAAAAAAGGTCCATTTTTTAATAATTTTTATTTTAATATTTTTAAAGGGCAAAATTATTTACATTTCTTATATTCACATTCTATTCGATTAAAATATTCCACAATAATGTATAATAGCTACTTATGCATATACGTAAATGTAGTTTAAAGTTATTCCAGAAGTGTAGTAACGTTATTTCATGAAATACAGTGTTGCAAATTGTGATTTTTTAAAATTTAAATAAGCAAAATAAAATTGTGATTTCAATAAAATTTTTTAATGAAAATCATCGATCTATTAACATTAATGCTTTGCATTCTATGCGGAATTGCAGCTTTTCAAATGAAAATTAAGATCTTTTTTCTCATTAATTTATAATGCTTAACCTTTCTATCACAATACATTTTTTTTTCTTTTTTTTGTTAATTTATCGTATATACATTGCATATTTCTGATTATCGCTTTGCAAAAATGCTGTTATAGCAAACTGGTTCTATGTTTATATTTTATATTTTAAAAAATCTCTGAACAAAAAATATTCTAATATACATATATCTATCTATGTACGGAAAATCTACTTTGAGTATATCCAAAATTGTAATATACTCTATATTAGATTTAACTTTTTAACAAATAACGACCGCCACCTATTAAAGCATATTTAAGGGTTAATATTATTCACATTTTTAGAAAGATATTGGCTAATATTAACTCATTTTGACTCTATAACTGCGTTTCAAAATTCACTGTCAGCGCTAAAAATCTACAATTTACGTTAAGTATACTGTATGTTTTCAGCATTCGCAGTGAATTGTGGAACACAGCAATTGTTTAATTGATACCTTTAGCTAATATTGTATATCAAACATTCTTAGAGAATAGGAATTTGTAGTATTATAACAAAAAAAAATAAAAATTCGAAAATGAAAATTTGTTTTAATTTAACATAAAATAAATGCACTGCATTAACAAAAGGGTTAATTACTTATATTTATTACTTTATATATAGAAATATTTAAAAAATGGCTTGGTATCTAAATTCGGAAATAAAAATTTGCATTGCACTTTGATGATTATTAACTAATTTTATAGTAAAATAGGTATAATATAACAGTCTATATAGGTTCGGCAACTGAAAGCAAAAAACGCAGTAATTAGTGCAATTAGACAATAAAAAAAAAATATCTAAATATATATTTCAAATCTTGCACACAAACCGTACGATTTGTATGCAAGATTTATATGCAAGATTCGATGATTAATATTTAAGAATCAAAATATATAAATTTTTTTTTTATTGTCTAAGCGCACTAATTACTGCGCTTTTTGCTCTCAATTGCTTATCCTATGTGTGTATAGTCTGTTATATTACATTTTATTATATTAAGAGCGCATTAAGATATTAATTTATTATTAATTTTATAATAATGTTTACCGTTAGTTTATAAATTAAAATATCTAGTAGATATTGTCATATACGGAATATGACGATTATTGCATACAGAAAAGTTAATTAAAAAAAAATTCTATATAGAAATAAAAAAAAATATCTTTGATGTCTTCTCTCTCACAAATTTCTGAAATATTTTTAAAACTAAATATATCTTTAATCAAAGATATATCTAATTTCAGAGACCAACGCACATGATTTGTCTGACTTATTTTTAGCTTAGTACTTAGTAGTCGGATTCTGATATCGATACTTCGGATAACATAGAATGAGTCCCGTCACCTCTACTTAATATAATATTTTTTATAAGATTCTCGGACGGATATTTAAGATCATAGGCTTGTCCCAATTTTGCGCAAATATCGATAAAAGAAGTGGTATAATTAAATCTATTATTTCCTTTTTCCGATGATCTGTAATCCCATGGGAACACATGATGAAAATTGTGATAACCTTCTCCTATGGTCAGAAAATTAACATAATTGTTGTCTGACGGTTTTATATTTCTGAAACAAGATTTGTATTAATTCTTACAATTATGTTAATAATCCTTGCGGTTAAAGAAAATACATACATTTTCATTTGTTACTATATAGGTATACACTAAAGCATTTAAAGGTTAATAATTTTGCCGAAAGACAGTTATAATATGTAAATAATTAAAACTTAAAGGACTCTCGATATATAAAATATATTAAGAAGGAGAAAAAAAAGCTAATGAGAGTCACATCTCAAATACAAAAAATAAATAAATGTCTTCAAAAGTAACACATATATTAAGTCTTCAAAAATATCACATATATTAATAAAAAAGCAAAACGCTGGAAATATGAAACGCTAGAACATTTTCAGATTAAAAGTAACAAACGATATGAAAATATAAGGCCGAAACATGTATATATTTTCATATTCGATACATGATTACTTTTAATCTGAAAATGTTCTAGCGTTTTATATTTCCAGCGTTTTGCTTTTTTATTAATATATATGTGTTACTTTTGAAGACATTTATTTATTTTTTGTATTTGAGATGTGACTCATTAGTTATAATAAAAATTTATAATTATCTTTTTGCAGCGTGTGATAAGAATTTTTATTATTTAAATGCAAATAAAGTATAAAAATGCAAATTCTAAATTATATCGTGATTAATACACTTAAATTACGCACTTATCATATGGTTTAGTGCCCCAGACATGAGCAATGCTATTGATAGTCCACACGGCGTTTAAAGTAATCATGTATCTTATGAATACTTGCGATATAATGGCCCTGCTCCATGTCTCATTCCATAGGTATATAGGTACTGCCGTAGGTAGGATAAAACCAAATATAAGTTGAAGGAGCAGAAAATACCTATAAAAATGTAACTATGATTTTTCAGAATTTATTTAAGCACAATATATCGCCTACCTAGATAACATGCATGTTGAATAAGATATCTAACAGACATCTTTTAGACATGTTTTAGACATAAGACATTTAAATGATGTCTTTCAAATATCATATGCAACATATGTAAATGTTATCTGGGTACTTGCTTCAATAGTGATACATGTAAATAAAAAATTGTCACCTTTTAATTGCTCTGCAAAGGAGAATGAAAAGAAAAAAAAAATTATTTAAAAAAATCTAATTTTATTCTTTCGTAATTAATTATTGCTACACCAAAATTGGGTTTAAAAGTAATATTACAAAGTTTTAACAACGCATTTAAACTTATTTTCCGAAAAATTTTGATTGTATTGTTGCTGTAGCAAATAAGTGATATGTTTATATTCTATAAATCCAGAAATATTAGATTTTATAATAGAAAATTATTGAATTTATGTGTTGCATAAAGAAAGTGAAATTATTATACATATTGTACTGTGTATTGTATCAATGCATAGGTAAGTTGTATGACGAATTGCCTATTCAAGACAAGCGCACAAAGTTGTTTACTAAAATAATAATTGTATATATTTTACACTAATTAAATTTACCTTTCTCCGAAAACTACAACAGGATCTGACAAAATATCCGATAAATCGAGTTGCTTGCTCTTTTTAGTAAATTCTGGATGCTCTTTCATTAACACCCATCCTACATGTCCGTAAAAGAAGCCGCGTTGAGTAGTGTGAGGATCAGCATTAGTATCACAATACTTATGATGCATACGATGATTTTTCACCCAACTGCATATTGTATTCTAAAAGTGTAAACGAATTAAAATATTATTGACACATATAAATATAAATAGCTGTATTTAAAATACATTCATTAGCTATTAGTCCGTTCTTTTTTCGCTGAACTTATTGCACTGTTCATTTTCTTCTTTTTCTCTTTAACATGAAGGAAAAGAAAGAAAGAATGAATGGTACAATAAAAGTTTAGCTTGAAAAATAGATCTTATGAATTCTATGATAAAGTTAAGGTTAATTTTTTTTTCTAGAAAATTTAGGAGCTTATGTAACTTCGTGGTTTTTTGTAATTTTGATGCTAATTAAGCATTTATATAAAATTTTGTTCAAATTAATAATCTACTTATCTATTTTCAAGTAAGAGCTTTTTTTTTATCAAACATTATTTACTTTAATATTTTTGTAACTGAAGGAGATGCTTCGTGCACATATAATTTAGAATTAATCAATAATTGCAAAAAATGATTACACATATATGACTATATAACACATTTGTACTTTATATATAATATACGTAAAAGTTTATTAAAATAATAAATTAAGTTTATTGATATTACCTGTGCACATGCACTAAAGCATATCAAAAATAGAATTCTTAACGGTAACTTTGCTTTATAACTCTTGTGAGTCCAAAGTCGATGAGCTCCACCAGATACTCCAATATTGGATATAAAATACATCACGATTACTTAAAAACATAGAAAAATATATTTATGTTTATATATTTAACCAAGAAATCAATTAACATGTATAATACTTATAAGATATATGTTTTACAAGTATACGTATATTTGAGTAAATAAGTGAAATAAATACACACTTTCTTTGAATATGCTACAAAATTTTTCATTACTTCTCAAACACCTGTATATATATTATAGATAAAATAATTTATTATTAATTTAACAATCTTTAATAATTTAAATTGTAAACTTATTTCATCAATTTTTTGTACAGTACAAAAAAATATTATAGAAAGAATTATTAACATTAACTATAGATTATATTGAAAATTTGATTTTATTTGAAAAAGACTGATACACTATAATAGAGTTGAATGAAGAAAATTTCAAAAATTTTTGACAATTTCTTTTTTAAATTCCCCTATATATAAAAGCGTAAAAGTACTTACTCCATATTGTAGTCATCAAATTTTCCAAGTAGTTAAAAGTCAATAAACCATAAATGCCAATAGCGTGCAATAGAAAAACTTGAAGAGCAATAAACCATATTATGTCAGTTTCGAACTTGAAAAAACTTGGTTTTATCATTTTGGATTTTTTATTGATGCTGTCATTGCCATTAATTCTTATTAAATCTGTATCAATTGTCAGACATTCTTTTATGTACTCTATTATAGCATAGGATCAAAATATAATTATATTACGATCCATTATGATAAATGTTAACGTATAAATAAATTTTTTTGGAAGCAAAGAAATACAATTAATAAGGTAAGATCTACCGTACAATCAGAAGTAACACAATTCTCAATCAAAATTTTTGTTCAATTTTACTTAATTTATATTATTTATACAATTTAGAGTATAACGAATTCTTGTAAAACTATTATAATAATAAAACTTATATCTCGAGAATATATTAGATACCTCGCTTACATGCATCAATTTTATCGAATATTTATGGAATTATATTATATTTAAAATTCATATTTTGTAATTAACGTCTATCTATTTGCATAAGAATAGAATATTGTTTATATTTATTACTTTATATACTGTGTGCTTTTATATATGTACCTTTTAATTTTATATAATATACACACATATGTATATAATTTTAAAATGTTTCTTAAACGTATTATGCAGCATGTATCATTAAATTTTATCATGAATTGTGTGATAAAAAATATATATTTCAAGAAAACTTAAGTTTTTTTAATAAATGTCCAAATCAGAGGACCCCCTCCCAATGACTTTGACATATGTTGTGTTTGAGTAACTTCCAACAAGTTTTAGCCGTCGTTCGCCCTTCGTTAAAATGTTATTAACAAAAAAGTTTTATATTTAAAAATATAATGTCTCATTTTAATACTTTTTGAACATACGAACGATTATGGAAAAAACTACGAGCAAATATTCCTTCCTATGATACACACGACTATCACACTTTATCAAGCGACACGGTAGCATCGCGATGCCACGTGCATAAAAATTATAACCGCTTGATGACCGCGTGAACGTCATTGCGTATATGTCGCTGCCAATTCGCGACGCTATCACTATCTTTATCTGGAGTTTTGACACCGACAAACTTTAGATTAAAATTACTTAAATATTAAAAGCCCAATCAAAAATCTAAAAACACTTTTATTATATAATGTTATCGGTATATTTCGATTGCGACCAGTTTGAATAACATTGGTGCATCCGATATCGATATCTAAAGATCGAGTTCCGAAAAGGAAATTTCAGATTTTCAGATTTTTTCAGTCGTACGTGTGACACATACATGTAAAGTTTTGTTCATTAAGGTGTTGTTCACAATGCCTACGTGTAAAAAATAAATTAAATTAAATTAAATTAAATCAAATCAAAAATTAAATAAACTAATAAAATTAATTAATTAATTAAGTTATACCTTCGTTAAAAATTTGTATTGGTGATAATATTTATATAACGGTAGCGTCTCCGGCCATGTTCATTAAGTTATACCTTCGTTAAAAATTTGTATTGGTGATAATATTTATATAAATTTTTCAATATTATGAGTGCAATATATCCACTAAATAATGTAAATATTGATTAAAAATTTGTATTCATATGTTCTGGAACTATTCTTTATTTTAAAATTCAAGGCATAACTTTCACTCTACCTCCCCCCTACTTCTGTAGCTCACGATTTCCACACGAAGCGATATCTACCACATCTTCCCTCCTGTTTCAGTGGTGCATGACTTCCGCACGAAGCAACTTCCACTCCACCTCATCTTTTTGCTTTAAAAGCACACGACTTTTATAATTGTACTATAAAGCACAAAGTCAAAACCGACAATTACGGAAATCGTGCGTCCTTTAAGCAGGAGGAGTGGAGGGGTGAGAATCATTTCGTGTGGAAAAACAAAACGCACAGTACAATTATGGAAGTCAAGAAAGGTAAAGAGAGGTGAGAGTCGCTTCGCGTGAAAAGTCAAACATTTCACAATAAGGGGAGGTGTAGAATAGTACTTAATATCGTATATGTAAAGCAAAAATAATACGTTATTTTTTAAATGTTTTATTAATAACTTTTTATCGAAGAACGAGCAACAGTTAAAACCTATTGGAGGTCACTCAGGTTCATGACAACATATGTCAAGGTCAAAGTCATCGGAAGAGCATCTAATAATCTAAACATTTACCGTTTCTTTTTGTTTGCGATAAATTGATAATTTAAAAAAAATAAAAATACTTTTTTTTTAAATTAACAAAATCGGAAAAATAGAAAAATTTTGAAATTTATATGTATAAGAAAATTTTTTTTAAATTGACAAAAATTCAAATAACACAAAAATTATGTTTTTAAATTCAAATACAATTTTATTGAGAATTAAAAATGTTTTAATGTAAAAATGCTTATTTAATATTTTTTTTACTATTTATTAAAGCAAAAATATTTATTTTCGGACTATAATCATTGAAACAAAAAATGTCAAAGAAATGATGCGTAATCAAAGTTGAAAACTACATTCTCTCAATTATTTACTAAAAGCAAATAAGATAATGAATAATTATACCTTGGCGGAGAAACATCAAAAACGATTTGGAGGAGATATTACGTATATATGCACTGATCGTGAGATGACTGTAATAAATTCTACTTCTCAAGCTGTTTATATATTATATTCCTATGTGTAAAAACAAGAAATATTTTAAATCACTACCTTTTTTTCTAAAACTAATACTCACGACGTTTCTGTTACAACGTAATATTTTGCATTGATAGATTGCATATGTTCTCCAAATTTTAATATTATTACAAAAAGTCTAATATTATTTTATGTATGCATGTAATTTATATATATTTCCATACTTCCATATATTTACATAATTAATGTAATAATTTTTTACCTTCATACGAACATTACTATCTTGCAGTGATATAATATGTTGATAGTGATGCAATATATTAGTGATTTATAATTTTTACTTTAATCTATTACTACGAAAGATTGACATAATTATATTTCAATTTGATATAATATGAACTTCATTAAAAACAAATGTACCGTTAATTGTGCTGTCAAAGTGTATGCGATTGTGAATGACTTTACTCGCCTACTTGAATAGGCAACCCGTCATACTAAACTGTATGTTAATACAACACGCGGTAGAATATAATAATTTTATTTCTAAACACAGTAAAAAAATTCGAAGTATGCTTCGATCGTATGCTTAGGAACGACCTTCGAATAAAGTATATTGTGTGAGTTAATTAATAAAAAAGTGATAAGCAATGGAAAAAGCATTGGAAAGCAACAGAAAAAAGTCAGATAGGTCATATCAAAAAGGCGTTTAGGACTTAACTTGAAAATTCTCTTTACTATTTTCCATTATTACTCAAAGCGGTAAATCGTTATGAGTAACTCCTATTATTACTCGAAGCGGTAAATCGCTACGAGTAACTCCTTCTATTTTCCATTATTACTCGAAGCGGTAAATCGCTACAGCAACTTTTCCTATCTTTCATTTACTCGAGGCGATAAAATGCTACCATTAACTCCTTCTATTATTATTCGAAGCGATAAATCGCTACGCAGGGTTGGCAAGTAACGCGTTATTTCGTTATTTGTGACGTTACCGTTAGAAGTTACTTTTTTCGGTAACGAATAGGTAACGACGTTACATGTTCTTTGAAGTAACGTTCATGGTAACGCAGTTACATTTTTGAGGTAATGATAACGATTACACTAGTTACTTTTATCGTTACTTTATTTCTACGTAAAAGTTTTAGTCCTAACTAGAGTTATAAAAAACAGAGATGCGACGTTAAAAGGATAAATCTGATTAGCTCTCTTAATTACGTAATCACGACGCCTTTTTTCACATTGTAATTACAGTTCACACCTATAGGCTGCGTTCCGTTTCACACATTATGCACATGATGTATCATTTTATCTTTTTTTAATAATAATATTTCGGACAACAAGAATAAAAGTTTTAAGACATTTAACTATTACAATTTATTTTTTACAGATTTGATTAAGTTATATTACACTGAAAGATGTTTAATTAAATATGCTGATTCATTAATCCTTTAAAGAGAAGAGGTATTGAGTATTAATACCTCTTTAAGAAGAGGTAAAGATATATCCAAATAATTTTGTAAGTGGTTCTTTTCTTTTTTTATATGTTATTATAAATAAAGTGTGAATTGTTATATATAATAAAACCTCAATTATTCGACCTAATGTTGACCGAAATTAGGTCAATAATAAAAATCAGATATATATATGTATCTATACGCATATTACAGGGGTTATATTTTATATTTAGCAATTGTTTAGAATACGCACGTTTAAATGTAAAAATGAAAATAAAAGAAATAATCTTCAAAAAATCTTAATCTTGATAAATCAAGGTCATAATTTTGAACAATATTTAAGAGGTTTTAACCAACAGTTAGCCGCTTTAGATAATGCTCAACAGTACTGTAACCATATAACGCAAAAGTTACTTAATAACGAATTATTTTGTTAAGCGTTCTTGAGGCAAGTTACAAAAATACGCAATAAAAAATGAGGATTTAAAAAAAAAAAAAAAACATGTCGATGTGACTTTGATCTAACCTTGGCAACATCATCCAAGATCAAACTAATGAAAACGATTGCTAGACCTTTTTTAACCTTATAACTGTTATCTGAAATAATTTTCTATGAAACTTATATTAATTTGTCAAGATATTGTGAGGGTCTTGGTATTTTTTCCTCACATCATGTGTGTGTGTGTGTGTGTGTTTTACACACGTTGCTAAGGTCAAATCAAGATTGTCTTAGGCAAGATCGGTAGCTGATCCAGCCACTGACGACACCATCCAAGGTCAAACTCATAGCGTCAGTAGATCTTTTTACACCCTACAACTTTTTCATCTAAAACAATTTTTTATAAAACTTATGTTTTTTGAGATATTTCAAGGTCCGACTTTTTTCGAACCCTCTGTTTGCCATAGCGATATAACAATACGTTTCCGACTCTAGCTCCATTTGCAAGAAATGATCCTTTTGGTGTCCTCGATAATCTCTGAAAGATTGTCGATTGAATTTGCAAACACCCTGTATATGAAAAATAAAATAGTTGTATTATAAATAAAATAATTTAGTATCTTGAAAAGTATTTTGAAAATAATCTTCTAACGATTCTGCTGGTAAAGATGTTCTTTAATTATCCTTCACATTGTCTAATTTTTTGCATAATAATATGCAAAAAATCAATTATGCTTAAATTTTTATCATAAAAGATAAGCTGGGCGTATATATGTAGATATCATATATTTACCACTTATATATGTGTGTGTGTGTGTGTGTGTGTGTGTGTGTGTGTGTGTGTGTGTGTGTGTGTATATGTACCTGGTAGTGTATTCTTATAGTATTTCATGATTCAACATGTATTAGATGTAAATAAATCATTAATTTTGAAATCTATCATCGTTTATTAAAAACAAAATGAGTTTCTTTGCAGAACATTTAAACGACTTATTTTATTATTTTTGGAAGGTTTTCCAAACTTTCTTAGATAAATAAGTATTTTTCCATGAATCTGTTTCTAAATGAAAACTACATAGGTTTTAAAGGTTTTGGAACATTCTGTATAATGCATATGTTCTCCAAAAATGCCATTACGGAAAAACCGATATCATATTATGTATGCACGTAATTTATATATATTTCCATACTTTTCATATATTTACATAATAATTTTTAATTTCATACAAATGTAAATTGTTGCTATCATGCAGTAATACAAAAAATTATCAAGTGTTTTTAAAAAATGGCTAAATCATTTAGAATCTTATTGTTATGTAATTATATTATATATGTAAATATATAATATATTTTAAAAACTATTAAATAATATAAAGCTCTATATGTATAAAACAATGCGAATAAAAAAGGACCAAAGTCAACAATATAACTAAATCAAAAAACTTTAATTCAAATAATAATGATATAAGTACCTAAAGACATTCCGACTCCGATTGAGTCATTCTCAATGTTACAGATACCAATGAATTCGTTATACAAAATTCGTTATCCTCCAGAAATTACTTCATTCTTCATGCTTTGCATCAAAAAGATGAAATTCAAAATGTATAAATTCAGAATGTATAAAATTTGGTGTTCTTGCCATTTATGTCTGTAGATAATCCATTAAAAAACGTATAAAATGGTAACCAGTCGGAATTTACGAGCACAGAATCCATTATTACATTATTACATAATTAAGCGAATTTTGCAGATATGTGAGATGAACGTGTAATCTCAATTACGCCAGATAACGCAATATATTTTTAATTTGTCTAGTATATGATATACATATAATAATCTGCTTTTCTATTCGTTTTCTTCTGTCTCCGTTTTAATACATTGCAAATATTTATATAATTTTTAAGATATTTTATTATTTTATAATTGTTTGCAAAATGTTTTGCAAATAATAATTTTGATTGCAATAAATCTTTAAAAATAATTAGGTTTCGCTCGTTTTTTGCAATGCAAAGTATAAAAAAATTCGGTCTAAATTGAGCAGTAATAAAATTAAACACAAAATTAAGATTATGATGATGGTGTGTGTGTGTGTAGCGCATACAACTATACTATATAATTAAATTCAGATGGCAACGTCCAAATTAAAATATAAACTTGTTCATCAAATTATTGAATTTAATGATTATCAAGCTTGGACGATTTTTTCTATAGTTGTATACGTTACCATCATAATCTTAATTTTGTGTTTAACTGTTAGTTTTATATTTAATATTATTTTGTACTGAGGACCTTGACCATAGATCGAAACGTATACGTTTTATTTTTTAATAAATTGTAAGAAAAGTGCATACCAATAACATGTATCGGCGCACATTGGCATCTTGTTTATTTTTATAATAAATTTCAAGTTTACAATGTTAGTATAGTATAAAAACTAAAATACATAAAGAATATAATATAAAAAAAATAATATAATGATATCGAACATTTCGGAACTCTCAATGGACTATAACTTGCGCTCAACAGTATCAGACGAATATGTAAAGATGCTCCTTTTCACACATTTTATTACACAATTCACACAAAAACAGGAGAATCAATTCTTTGAAACCTCTGTACCACACTATGTCGCTTAGAGCGTAAGATTATTCATCTCTATGATTTTGTAATATCTTCAAGAATCGCTGAAGAAGGACCTGTAAGTTCCGAAACGTTCGATATCATTATATTATTTTCTTTATATTATATTCTTTATATATTTTTATTGTTATGCTGTACTAACATTATAAACTTGAAATTTATTTTATGAAAACATCTTATTACTACTCGATTTAGACCGAATTTATTTAAAAATATATTGTAACACATAATTTATAGGAATTTTTGATATTATATATTTATACTTTCGTGTAATAATAATTTAAATTAGAATACGATTTTAACAGGTATATCAATAACTTATTATCAGAAGTTTATTATAAGTTAAAATACAATTTATTACCAAAATTCAATTCTAACTATAATATTATCAATATTCAACTAATTTTTTGAGAAATTTACGCTTCTTATATTGTGATTGTTAATATTCTTTATACTTTTAATTTATTATTTAATTTACTATTTGCAAATTATGTCATTTTTTAAAATTTATACTTTATATGATTTTACATATATTTTACTAATCTTATAAGTATGAAAGTGTAAACAAGTTTTTACTAACGGTGAAATAAGACTGTAATTTAATGAATTAAATTTATTCTACATGTATGTGTTGCATTCGCTAATTAATCTTTGGCACTTCAATCACACACTGGGATTTCGTCCCATTTGGCACGGGAGCCATCGCCTTTATCGGCAGCAACTCGTTTCACAAGCTCCGGGGACGGTTTCTTGAGATTGTAGGCCCATCCGATCTTCGCGAACATGTCGATGAAAAACGCCGAGTGATTGAAAATATACCAATTGAACTCGGACGCACGATAGTCCCAGGGAAATGTGTGATGATAATTATGAAATCCTTCGCCACTACAAACTACACTCACGCTCATATTCTCTGTTGGTCGTATATTTCTAGAAATTAGGACAGAACTGTGATAATAAATGAAAATAAATTTGATCTATTGAATATCGTATCTCGGATCAATAGAAAAATATTTTACAATTTTCAACATTTCTTCAAAAAACCTCGCGAATACGATAATTGATTTCACACTAATTGTCTATCAGAAAAATTGGTCTTGTGCCCTAAATATGCGTCAGTAATATTGCCATAAATCTATCTGAAAGAACTCACTTGTTATATGGCTTGGTACCCCACGTATGAGCAAAACTGTTTATGGAAAAGCTTGCATGTAACACCAATAATACCCGAGCTACTTGTGAAGTGAAGGATCTGTTCCAAGTCTCATCCCAGAAGTAAACTGGTATCAGCGTGGGCAAGATATAAGAGAATATCAAGTTGATCAAAGTGACATATCTGCTAACAAAAAATTAACTGCATTAATACTTGTATTATCTATTAGAAAATCGCGTTGAGATATAGAATATAAATAAATATGTAACGCGAATTGTATGTAAATATTCAATTAACTTTTTATGAAAAGCGATGATTGGATCTGCCAAAATGTCCCGCATATCAGTTTCGCGTAACTTTTGAACGATTTCAGGTCTGAGTCTTCTTAGAATCCAACCTATGTGGCAAAAGAAAAAGCCGCGTCGGCTGTTGTGAGGATCTAAATCTGTGTCGACGTATTTGTGATGTACACGATGAATTCGTACCCAACTAAAAATAGAGACCTATATATAAAGAAATGTAGCATTAAGGTCTATTCTCATTGAAGCCAATCTTCTGATCGGTAATGTCAAGATGTGTCTTTAGAAAATAATCAATCTTATAAATAGATCTCTAAATTAAACTACATGAACTTTCTCGGTTATTATATAATTTTTCATTTAGTATTCAAATAAAAGTGTATTTTGTACACATAATAAATAGATGAATTGACTTTACTTTAAAATACAAATTAAAAATGTTGTCATTAAATTAGATTTTTATAATAAATTGCATTTCAATTTATATAATAAATAAACTCTTTTGGTTATTACCCCTCCACTTGAACAGTAACAAATAAAAAGAATGAGCCTGAGCGGTAAATTAGCGCTGTATGATCGATGAGACCAAAATCTGTGAGCACCAGCAGTCACACCGATGCATCCTAAGTTGTACAAGGTTAATACTGAAAATATTAAAAAAATGTTAGTATATATGTAATAATGTAACAATAATAATAATTATAGCTTATAGCTAATATAAAGTCGAGCATGGCTATTTTGTCTGTTTTAACTTTAATATTATATAATTTCTGGCAAAAAGCATATTTCTTTGACTTTGCTATAAATTATTACATTACATAATCATGATTACTTTTTTTAAATCACAAGCATGGCCTTCGAATGTTCAATGTATTTTATTTAGAAATATTTATTGCAAAAAAGCCCTGCTGTACCCTATCGTTAAATCATTAATTTACATCAAAAAGGTATAATATAAGATTCAAATTTCTAAATATTTTTTACATAAACTTACACCACAAAGTCGTCCTTAAGCTTTCAAAGTAGTTGAACGTGATTAAACCATAAAGTCCAATGACGTGCATTGTCAGTAAGTAAAAGACCGTTAACCATATAATATCCGTTTTTTGTGTTTTTTTTTTCGTAATAATTTCTTCTTTGCACTTAATATCACACGTGTCATTATAAGGATTTTTTGCACTGTGCATAATGACAGCAATAACTTTACGTATAAAGTATAATTATATTGTACTTAAAGTCACATCAACAGATAAAGACTGTGTTTGTGAAGCGCGCTATTAGTGCTATATTGTGTTAGAGTAGATAAAAAGAATGTCGCCAATTACCTGGAAAATATATAGCGATAATTTTAAAATATGAAAATAATAATTAATGAAAAATTTGAATTTATAATAAATAATGACTCCTTTATTGTTTCAAATCCAAAATTATATGACTTATATTAGAAAAATAATAAATAATAATAAACGATTTATTAGAAAGATTATATTAAAATAACATAATTTTTAACAAAAAATGTATTAATTATTCACAATTAGTTATATTAATATTTTATTATATTCTAGTTTATACTTAGAGATTATTAAAAAATGAATATCTTATACTTTAAATAATAATTTATAATTAGTTAAAAAATTTGTATAATTTATTATTAACATATGTATATGTGCTTAATATTTATATAAAAAGTTCCTTGAAAAATAAAGCAAAACTCAAAACTGCTATATCTATACCGGATGAGGCATTTAGAACCTGGCATTTAGATCACCTGAATAACTTGCTTGTTTCTAACAATAGAAGGAAAAGTATTAAACAAATGTTGCTTGGTTTCGAGAGGCACATAATGTGATGTCAATAATTGTTTTTTAGGTAGAAATGTGAATAGGCAAAGATCAAATCTGTTTTTTTAAATAAAATGATATGTGTTTTTATTACATATATAAGTAACTAAGATCCGAGGTAGACTGTTATAAGCTTCGTATTGATATTAATTATGTTCGTACATTGACGGTCTTTAGATTTGAATATTGTTTATTTACGTGCCTGAAAGAAAACGTTTATCACTTTACATATACCAATTATTGCGAGGAATATTATTACGGCCTCGGTAGTCTAATTGGCTAGGACACTATTCATTCAAGTGTATCACAGTATGTAAATAAACATTAAATTGCACATAATATTATCCATATTTACTGATCAATTTGAATTTATCTATCGATCGAAGTGCATGTCTTACGAAATACATTATACGAAAGAGGAAAAAGTCGATATGAATTTCATTTATGGTGATCTACATATTTCGCAAGACACGCACTTCGATCGATAGACAAATTCAAATTGATTAGTAGATAAATATTGATAATGCTATGCGATTTAATATTTATTTACATACCGTGACAGATAGTCATATCTGTCAATTTTACAAAATATCTGCTGCAAACCTTCAAAAAAATATCAACAAAAATATCTAATAACAAAATATGATGGTAGAGAGAGACTGAAAAATCGATCAGAATTTGCTATCTTGTAATTAATTTAAATAATATATTTTATTTAAATACCTATAGACGCTAAGTCTACTAAAAGCGCGTATTGCAAACTGTGTATTATATATATGTATGAAAAATTATATATATAAAACTTTAGCAACAGCCAAGCACAATTTATTATTTTTTCTAATATCAGAAAATAAACATCGAAAAAAATAAACTCTGTATTATATCATAATAGCGAGATATAATTCCATTCCTGTCTGGGTCTATAAATATCGGAACACAAATATATCAACATTAGACACATATATTGGCGACACTTTTCTTTCTACCCATTTTATATCGTGTTATTTTGTTTTGACCTCTTCGATCGTGACCAGGTCGTTTACACCGTTGTTAAATGTAGTTGCAAAGTTTGTTTATAGCATTGAAGTCTCACAATTTTGTTAAATTCGAGCATGCTTATTTCAAAACTTTGTGACTGGCTGCGTTACAGAGAACTTCATAACTGCACAACTTCCACTATTTATCATGAAAAAAAGTCTTCTTATTAAATCCCTCTCCGCGCTGATAATGAGTCTCTCACCGTCTGCTCGATGTCATCTCATCTTCTCCCGTCGTACCTACCCATCTTCTCAACGAAACACTTTATTGATTCTTTTCCAAGTTCTTCTACTTCTGTGTCATTCCGTTTGTTTCTACTGCCTATCTATAACATCTCAAAAACCTTTACCTTTGTTTTTATCACAGTTATTAATGTTTAATATTAAGCGCACAAAATTCATCTCCGTTAGTTTGTACGACTCTTCAAGATGTATACTCCTGTAACTCCTCTGTTATTTATAATATCTTGATTCTCTTCTTCATATTCCAATCACTTCTTATCTTGCAATACTTTTTCAATCTCCTAAAAGTAATTAGTAATTTTTCCAATTCGCAAAAATCGCAACCCCTCTTCACTCTCCTTCACTCTATTTCTATTTCTTCTTTATTCTCCAAATTATTCAATCAGATTTATTTCAAGCAATTAAATAACATTTTCAGAAAAATTAACGCTATTTCCGACTGATAATCCAGATTTCATAATATGTATAACGATTAAACTGCTACATTGTTTATCTCGTGCTGTACGTTTTAGTAATTAAATTAGCAACTAAATTATCATATATACCATATATACCGGGTAGGGCAATAACTTTGTCCACCTTGAATATCTCTGCTTTTTTTAGAGATATGAAAATATTGTAATTACAAAAGTTGTACGGTATTAAGAGGACTATAATATATGCTGGTTATAATTTTTTTAGATGGAGGCGCTTCGGAGATTTCGAGGTCAACTTCATTTTTTTAAATGGAATTATATGAATTTTTTTTCACTATATGATTCCTCTAATTATTCTGTACATAAAAGTATCAAGGTAGAGATATAAAAAAACCAATAGTTTACGAGATATTTTACACATTCTTTTGGTGCATATTGACATAAAAAGTTTAATAACTCGTGAACTATTGACTTTTTGATAATCGTACCTTAATGCTTTTGTAAACAGTATAATGAGATGAATCAATTGGTGTGAAGAAAACACATAATTGCTATAAAAAAATATGTATGCAAAATGGATAATTTAGAAATAAGCAACTATGTATATAATTAAATTAATCTTATTCCTGCAGAAATAAGTTATTTTTATTGTATTTTAAAATACCACGAATGCATCTAGCTTCAGATTGCTGTAATCATCTGCAGTGTAAGTACCTCTGACCTCTGACCGCGACATGGAGAGGCTTATAAATCAGAAGCTAATCGATATGCGAAAGTAAAATCCTTTGTGTGTGCGTTATACGGATTCGTGTCAATTCGTATATCATTTAGTATGTTCTTTCTTGTTATAAATGTCATCCTAAAAATTGTAATGCACTGAGAGCATTAAATTTTGAAAAATTAAAAAAAAATTTAAATAAAAATTTAATAAAAATGTAGAATTCTGTTTTCTAATCTATTTAGATACGACATCTTACGCAATATTTTAGCAAGAGAAACAAAGTTAACGTTAAAATTGCTTGAAAAGCAGCGGTCTAAAGAATTGTAAGGATAAATCTCACAAGCTACTTTGCTTTGTATGATCGATGAAATCATGATTTATAAACGTCAACAGTGATGCTTTAATCCGCAATAAAAACAACGAAAAATAAAAAATACTATAAATTACATAGGTTCTGTTTACTAACAACAAAAATCAGCAATTGTAAAATAAAAAAAAAATTTGAAACTTTGTGCATAAGTTTAGAATAGATGAACCTAATTATGGGACAATTTTTTTAGCTATTCATATTCGATTTTAGGGATGAAAACCCTTGTTATGAATTGGTCGTTCCGTGAGAGTTAATGCGTTCTTGTAGAAAAAATGAGAAATAGAGAGAAGAGCTAGGCTTAAAAAAGAGAGATCACAGTTTCTTTTTTTTTTTTTAACAATACGGAACTTGCGTTACACTTCGAAACGGCCAAGCGGCTGAGATCTCAAATCGAATGCGAGCGGAAATCTTCGGTTTGGTTGTAAGTGCTGTGTCTTATTACGACAAGAGATTATTCTCAGAACCAGCGTTGGCTCCAGATATGACGAAAATCCTGTCGGGAAGACGTTCGATCTGCAACGATCAAATTACGTTCGCGGATGCACGAGTCACTCACTCTCAGTATAATGTCCATATTGCAGGGTTTACTGTTGAGATTCCACATCAAATCAAAGATGTCGTGATTTGTTTCGCTGATCACGAAGAGAGACCACTTCGTATATCTTCGCATTTCTTATGGAAGGACAAAGCACACATATATGGAACAAAGTACGCGTCTTGCAAACGTAGTACTTGCTGAGAATAACTTACGTTCCCGAGATTTGGACGCCAAGTGCAAATCGATCATCGTTATAACGAGATATCACCGAGCCGGGTCTCTTCCTCCTAATCCTTAGAGAAGTGCGCGAAAGCATATATTCGGTTACTCGCGCAGTCGCGCAGTTAGACAAAGAACAAGGATTGTCCTAATTCGCAAGAGCGATAGAGATCGCTAATGCGCAATGTTACGACAATTGGTCTTTCGCAATTTCGCATGCGCCACCAGCAGAACCGACGGACGTAAATGCCGAGTTCCGTCTTTACACTCTGAGATATTCTGGGATTGCTTTCACAAAGAAAATCGATTGAAAAGACACGGGCACTCTCCATTAGAGTTTTGCTACATTTTAAGCTAATTCTAGAACTCTTTTGGAAAAAAAATCTATAATAAAACAATTAATTAAGATATACACGTAAAGACTTGTTATACAACAGAGTCCGAATTCGTAAACCGGAAGAAATTAATCAATCACAATTGAATATGACAAAAGCACAATATCGGACATAATTGGTTAATTTCTTACGGTTTACAAATTACGACTCTAGTGTGTAACAGGTTTGAAATATGTGACGATCGAAGCTGGGATCTTAGAAACTTAAATAATTTTTATGTAAATATTTATATACCACATATCACATATGTATGTAGTCATTTAAGTTGCTAAATTGGTTTTTCGGACTTACAGCGTTTTCCACTGAGAAAAATAGTACGCATTGAGTGCAATTATGTTGTTTCACTCTGAAAATTGGTTTAATATTTAATGTTTCACTGATACAACTGATGCGAAAATCGAACTGAGTTCAACTTTTGCTCCACTGCCTTTAAAGAAGGTGGAAGACTAGTGCAACTTGAAATTGAGATTATGTATGCATTTTCAAATACGATCATACGTTGAGGTATGTCATTTAAATTATTTTAATTAGAAGTAATGATATTATTTTCAGTTTTTGCTTATCTTAATATATAGCTGACATTATTATTTTAATATTCAAAACCATTAAATTGATAAAAAATTAATAAATAATTGAGAATATATTAAAGATCGTAAAATAATTAAAAAATAAAATGAGCAATTTAAATTTATGTACTATTACGTCCAGCGCGTGTTTATTTCTCGTGAGTCGCGGGATGCGGCAAAAAACGGTGGAGCGCAGGCGCGAAGTGGGGCGCGCGAGGCGAAGCCTTCTTTGCGTCTATGTTTGAAGCAATTTCTTTTATTTCTTAAAAAGGCTGCTGTCACCAGTGCTTTCTATTTTCGATGTTGCTATCTATTATTAGTCGCGATATTTACTTCTATTCTTTTGATTCTATACTCTGTCTTATTTCCAGCCCTCGTGTGCCTTTCTTCGGAGAAAAAAATAAATTTTTAAGAGTTGAGGAAACGTCAGAATAAGCGCCATAAAAGGAGATAGAATCACATCGGCTGCTGTTATAGCTCATCATTGTTTTGCTCCTCTTTCTCCTCGGATAAGGGACAGGGAGATGGTATAAAAGAAAACAAAAGAGGGTAATTTTCGACTATTTTTATCTTACAATTAGAAACTTCAATGATTTGCAGGTCGGTTCTTTTTCTGGTAATGAAGGTGGGCCTCGTGGACTTCCTAGCTGGTGCCTCGCATGCAGGCTTATCACTTTACGCGGGAGTTCACGTGTCTCGGTTACTGACTCGGTGCGAGGGGCGCGACGGGCGCTGGTAATGCATAAGGCTCGATCGTTGGGGGTGATACGGGCGGTGCGACAGGTGCGAGTGAAGTGACATCCTTTTGTTGAACGTCAGGTTCCCAGTATAGGCCAGGATCAAGTGAGGGTCAAAGTCAAGGTCATTCGGAGGTCATTTGGAGCGGGGTGTATAAAAATAAACATTTACCTACTGCAAAAATAGAACAAATACGAACTATAATAAACTTCGATGAACAAAAATGTCGAAAAAGAGAAAGCGATAAAACGTATGGAAATCTACGGAAAACTGATTCTTGACTTTACTAAAATTTTGTAACAAGATTTAATAAAAAAAAAAAACTGAGAGAGCTTGCAAGTAGAACAACCTTAATTACAATTACCAGAACGAACGTTGGTTAACACTTAAATTAATACGAAATGTGAATAGTCAGCTATTGAAGAACTTCTAACCGAAGAAATTATAATCTTGCGCGGTTTATAGTTAAGTTTTCTACAAAAATGCTAATTGAAACGAGCTAATAGAAACGAAGTACGTCGCGCTCTTTGCGTGAATCGCTTATATACAAATTAATAGGTAACTTCCGCGGCTCCACGCGGACAAGGGGGTTGATCTTTAGCGGATGTTACGTAAATCTTGGTTCTAGAACATTCTGTGATGTTCTAGAACCTTCTATTTTTCTTCAAGGGATGTAAGGGTGCGATAAGGGTGTTTGACCCGTCAATAAACAACTTTGTATACAATATACTTCCAGACTATTCTAAAAGGAGATTTTCATCATTTTAACGTGATTGACCAGATTTTATATTGCTTATTGATGGAGTTTGTGCCTGCAGGACACACTACTGCACTGCATTAATGCTGTTATCGCTTTAAGGATCACGCGATAAGCATTTCTTACGCAGAGCGCCCACGTTGTCATGACAACGGTTTCGTGACGTTCACCTTGTCGCGAGAATGCGCGGCGGAAGTTACAATGACATAAAGTCAAAAGCCATCTATTATCAAAAAAATGAACCGTACATTTTTCAACTGGTCGACGAACATAACGGCGTATCTTAATCTGGTTTTTATAACTTAAAAGTCAATATATTCAGACTTTACTTTACAATATCTCCACTCACAAATCATGTAGAGAAAAAAATAAAAATACTTTCATTATATATTTTGAGCGGGCACAATCGATTAAGTACATACTTAAAAACTGATCAGTTTAGTTCTTATTGAGATTGAGATTCTATTACTTTGATCTCCCGAAATTCGCCGGCTTACGTAAAGTAACCACAGCAGTGTCGCTGCGCTTGGCTTAGCGCCGAGACACTATCGTTGTGTCTCCAAACCCCCTAAAATCACTCAGTTATGCTTCAATAATTTATTTATAGAATAAATTTTAAATTGGATTAAATACGAATAACATTACTTCATAAAACGTTAATTAGACTATATTATTTGTACTTAACTAAATCTGGCGTTATTATAAAATAATTATTTTCGTTTTTATAATAAAAAATTAAAATACTTAAAATTAAAACGATCCCCGGGCGGTAGCAATGTTTTCGAAAATTTCTATCCTCTTTTATTGCAAAAAATATTACTTTGAAAAAAAATTGATGTCTACACACAAATATCTTCGAAAAATACAAAAAAGTATTTTCTATAAAAGTTTTATGGTTTTGAAAACACTTTATAACAACACACGTAATCGTCGGAGTAATTTAACTCCAAAAAACAGTTTGAGGCCCTATATCTCTAAACATTTATTTATTTATTTGAAGTCTTCCTATAATAATAAGAATTGAAACAATGTGGTTAACACTTTTGATTGATTGCTGGAATTCACCATGTATTATTACACTCGTCGCTGTCAAGTTGCAGAATTCAAGATTTTATATAATCGTTTGACGTAAGAATAAATAAAAGTTATAATGCTAGATACTTCACGCGTTCTATTTTCTAACTTGTCTATATTCTTTGCAGTAGTAGCTATAACTTATACGTAACAAAGTCAGCGTTTATACCAACGTAAATTTGGTTATTAATGGCGGCAGCGACAGTTTTATCATGACTTTTATATAATAAAAACATTATTAAAATAGCAGTCTCTGCTATCTATTTGAAGTTCGAGGTACTCTCTTTGCATCCAGGCGCTAAATATTTCAAATTTAACTAAACATAACAAAATTGTATTTTGTAAACGTGTTTTTAATAAATAAGAAAAAAATATAAGTTAACACTATTATAAAAATACTATTAGTTTTATTACTACTTGACTACTACGTAGCATCTCTCCCCACTCTCTCTCTCTCTCTCTCTCTCTCTCTCTCTCTCTCTCTCTCTCTCT